CAGAGGCCCATCATATATCTTTAGCCATGGAGGGTTTTCTTGTCATTTAAATTGATTGATGCATTCATTCATTGAACAGCTATCATACAAAAAGGTCAAGAAACTGTACAAAGCCAAGCCCTTTCCTAAAGAGATTTCAACCTAAAATCTAGGTTAAGTTGTTCACGCAATAAGACACAAGGGCTGGGCATGAGGCTCCATGGTAGAGAGCTTGCTGGCACGCACAAGGCCAGTGTTGAATCTCAACATAGAAAAAAAAATTACTTTGGTGACTCTCTTGAGAAGCCCATGCCCACTCTTGGCTGTGTGCTTCCTGCTCTTCTTTTCTAAGTGCCTCTCTCCAAGCTCAAATATAATGAAAACTTTTTTTTTTTTTTGGTTTTTCGAGACTGGGTTTCTCTGTGGCTTTGGAGGCTGTCCTGGAACTAGCTCTTATAGACCAGGCTGGTCTCAAACTCACAGAGATCCACCCGCCTCTGCTTCCCGAGTGCTGGGATTAAAGGTGTATGCCACCAATGCCCGGCTCATGAAAACTTCTTAACCAACCCAAAACAAACAATAGAAACAACAGCAAGAGACCCAAAACAATGGAAGTACACAGTATTTGAGTATCACATATATATAGTAATATTAAAATACAAATGTTAATATGAGTGTTTAACATATTAGTATTAAAAAATTAGTAATAACGTATGTGTTAGTATAGTGAGTATCAGTCAGCTAGAGATTAGAGGAAGAAACTATTAGTCATTCAGGATGGAAGGATGGAAAGTGATCCAGTAAGAGGGAAGAAAGGAGCTAGGCAGTGGCAAAGTGAGAGGGCTAAGAGAAAGGGGGTACAGTTAGGATGTAGGGAGTGCCCTGCGCAGGGCATTCAGAACTTGGGGTGGAGCTGGGTGCAATGCATATAAACCGGCTGAGGGAGAGGATGGGGAGTTTGCAGCCAGCCTAGGTAACACAGTGACATCTTTTCTTCTTTTAAGGTAGGAGGCAGGGCACAGGGAGACAGATGTTACAACTGCGAAATATGTGAACATGTATTTGAACATGAATTCCATCATTCCCTAGCCTGGACAAATTACTAGACACCTCCTGCCCATTTTTCTCCATAATGGCAATCTAGTACCTACTTCAAAAGACTCCCAGGAATAATATTACTACAAAAATTAGTCACTACTTATCAAAACTATTATCATTAAAGAAGAAAATAGATTGGAATTCAATTACAGACGGTCATGAACTTCAGGCTAAGGGGAATTTGTATTAAGTTTTATAGGTAGTAGCAAGCCAAAGTTTCGTGTGGAGAATGAGGTAGTAAGGTCCGACGGGTTCATTTACTTATTTGTGGTACTAGAGACAGAAGCCAAGGCCTTGTGTACAGCAAGTAATGTAAAGGAGTCTACCCCAGGGCCACCACTGAAGCTTTAGGGAGGCCCATCTGTGGGAGCCATAAGATGGATAAATTACAGAGGAAACACTGGGGACCTACAGAGTGGAAGTCCAGACGCTCGATGAGAATCTAAACCAGAGGGATGTGCTCCTAGCACAAAAGGCAAGGTAAGTGGTGGAGAAAGCTAACTCCAACTAGGGTCTAGCTCTTACATGAAAGGGTGAGATACTGAACTAGACACTTTACAAAACTTTAAATGCTAAATCCATGTCACACATACTTTACCACAATTTATTCTTTTTAAACTTACTGTATGTGTATGAGTGCTTTTGCCTGCATTTATGTATGTGCACCATTAGCATGACTGGTGCCTACAGCGGTTAAAAGAGTGCATCAGATCCCCTGGAACTAGAGTTTTAGACAGCTGTGAGCCACAATGTAGGCACTGGGAACCAAGTTACAACTTGGCTTATCGGCTTTTAGTGTAAGAGAGCTGAGAAGAAAAGATGCTCTCCTCTGAGGGACCCCAAAACCTGGAAATAGTTAAGAAAGAAAATAAAGGCTATTGACACCTCTTTGTCTTCTAATACAGAGAGGAATTAAGATTACATCACCTCCAGCAATCCAGATGCACCCTCCACGACCCTATAGTCCCATCCCATTTATTCTAAACTGTAAGGGTACTCATCCGATTTGTTCTCCACATATCCCTTAAATATTTGCAGTGAAATTTCTCAGGTGCTGTTAGAATAGTTAATACTTTTTAAACTCTTTTCATTTTTTCTTTAAAGAATGCCACTCACATGGAAAGTCTATGCATTACATTGTCTTTCACAGGGTGACACACTCATGGAGCCAGTACCTACAGGACACAGAGAACACAACTAGCATCCCATAAGCAATTTCACAGTCATAGAAACACTGCTCCAAAGCCTCACAGGATAATCAATGTCTAAGTTTTGAAACACACATTCGTTTACCTACTTTTGAAACTGATGCAAACAAAACTGTAGAATATTGGTGACTGGTTCCCTTCACACAATAGTGTATTTGTAAGATGCCAAGTTGTTTACACATAGCTTCAGTTTATTCATTCTAAATACTATCACACATTCTTCTTGGGGCATTTATGTCACAACTTATTTACCCATGCTATTATTGATAACCACATGGAAAATTCCTGTGTGGCCTATTCATTTAGCATGATCATTTCTGTCCATTTGCTTCAGTGACTACGTGCACACAATTCTATTATGCATAAATCCAAGAGTGAAACTTCCACACTGTAGAGCTTGAACATACCCAACTTATGTAAGCAGCTGGAAAACTTGGAAGGAAGAAAATTTGCAAGGCCTTTGTAGCAAAATGTGAGTTACACTAATGATTCAAAAAAGGTGCTACCTCCCTTCTGCAGCTCAGTGGGTTGAGGGGAGGGCTGTGGAAGGTGTAACTTCAAAGGAAGAGGAGTATTGAAGTAGGACTGCTGACCCACCCACCCGGTCCTGGGAGGCCATTTACTGTATGGTATTTTCAGCAGCAATGGCAGCACAGGATACTTAACAGAAATAACTCAGGTGTGTCCATTCTTCAGTTAGTGTTGCTAAAAGTTAGAAACAAACTGGTGCCACTGTTACAGAGAAGTGACTTCTTCAGTGTGCTACAACAGAGCATCAATGTTGCAACTCAGAGCAGTGGCATTTGGGCTGAGAGACTCTACATTGGTTTGTAAACATCTAGAGAATGAAAGTCATTTCAGAATGAGAGCCTAATTTCCAGGAGACTGTATAATAACTTCTACCTCAACAACCATGCTAATAAAATTTCATTTACTGCTGAGATACTACACACACACACACACACACACACACACACACACACTTAATTCTAAAACATAAAAAAGGAAAAAAATAGGGAACCTGAATAAAATATAGACTTCAGTAGAGAAAGATCAAGGCACATTACAGTAAATGTGCCATAGCTGTGTAAAAAGTTAATGAAAAGAAAAATAGGAGAGAGACTATATAGGAATTGAGACACATATAGGTATTTAGATTTGTCTGCAAATCTAAAATTATACTGAAAAATAATGAATTTTAAAAGTCTACTTGAAAGACCATCTGCATGTTGTAAAGTACCTGCAGAACTTCTTTCAGGATACACTCTAAGAGCTTTAGACACACACATACCTGTGCACGCACACACACACTTTCCATCTATGAGCTTAGGTACACAGACAAATAAGGGACACATTCTATCTGTGCTAATATTGTGTTTTGTGCCTTGCTATAAGATAAGAATGAGCCTTTATTTTCCATTCCATCTCCTCCAACCTTTCTGACTTTACACTATAGGCATTTAATAATTCATTAAGAAGCAATCCTCTAATAATCTCCAAGCAATAACGAATCAAAGCTCCAAGCACAGCTAACATTCCAAAAAGCACATCTCAGTAATCTAAAGTCATCAAGTCCTTGCTTATATTTCAGGGGCAGAAAGAAAAAGAAGCAAACAGGCTTTCATGTAAGAGGGAAAACTGCCACTAATATGATGGAAGAGCCCAGGAAAGGAACCCGGCAGAAACTCAAGAGACCTGGCCTCATTCGGCTGTACCACTAGTTAGGTCCACTCTGTGATGCTTGAACATCATCTCCAGTCCTCAAGATCATGATTTCAAGTCTATAATCAACTATAGTACCTCTGCTATTCACCAAGATGTCCTGAGAATCTTAAAAAAAAAAAAAAAATGACATCTTGCCACTGAATGAATACCTATGTGTATACACACACACACACACACACACACACACACACACACACACGGGGGGGGGGGGGGGGAATGGGTGAATGAAAGAAAAGATAAAGTTGGCTTTCCATGGTACTTTTCTTTCCTTAACCTTGTATTAGAAACTACAGTACTACATAGGCTCAGTTTGAAGAGTGCTTGCCTAGCATGCACAAAGCTGAGGGTTCTATCCCTAGCACTACATAAAGCAGGTGTGATGTCTCATATTTGTAATCTTAGCACTTGAGAGGTAGAGGCAGGAGGATCAAAAGTTCAAAGTTATCCTCAGCTACATAGTGTTCAAGGCCAGCCTGAGCTACAGGAGACCCTGTCTCAAAGCATCTCCCTCAAAAGATAAAGTAATCATACCACTCTGAGAACTGCAAGTATTTACTTGCTGGTCAGCAGTACTTTGCAATAGGTCTAGGCTTCCTTGGTTTATCCCTAGAAGCTTTGAAATAGGTTGTGGTTCTAGCAACTTCATGTATTTAAACTCCTATGGCTGGAGTTGACAAGCTTCTTATTAAAAAGCCAAATAATAAATATGTTCAGCTTTATGGGATCATATAGTCTCTGTGGTAAACCCAACTCTGTTGTTATACAAAGGGAAATACATAGGGAAACGAATGGATCTGTGTTTAGATAAAACTTTATTTATAAAAACAAGTAGCAGTGTAGGCTATAGTTTTCCAGTCTCCTTCCTAGAGCCACAGTGGGACAGGAAAAGCAACTAGAAAGACAGATTTTTGCAAACCTACATCACAAGTTCTCACTAAAACAGTTTCATTTGCAGGGAGAAAACGCTTATGAATCAGGCTCTTGACATACCTGTGAATGTTCAAGTTTCCCCTGCATGAACTGGTCACATCACCAATACCTAAAGACAGAGCAGGAAAACACTCTCCCTTATATGGTTGTTATAACATAACGGGATGTGTTAATTTATATAGGCAAAATTTACATGGTGACCTGCAAAAGTAAAATACTAGGTTTTAGCAACTTTAGCAATAAACACAGAAACCCAAGCCTGATTAATATCAACCGTTATTCCTTCCATATGTTAAGCTAATAATTAAGATAAATGCCAAGGTCATTGGCTTTCCTGGAAGACCTATTGTGCTTTTATGCAAGCCAGTGCTTTAGACCTGCAGACTCCTGGTCTTCCATAAAACACTAAATTTACAGATAGCCAGAGTAATTACTATTTGACCTAACCATTCTGATTTATTTGGGGATGGGACAAGAGTTGTTCACCAGAGTGAATGTGGGGGCCAAGATCATCTGTGTCTTCCTTTTGTGTCTATCCTAGCAAAACTATTCCATTCTGTAACAGTTAACTTATTAAGATGAGCTCCATGTTAGCTAGGGTTTCAGTAATGGGCTGGAGCAGACCTGGCCCACCGAGATCAAGCAAGTGCCTTTTTAAAAACTCATTTTAAGAAGTGTCTCTACATGGCTTTGCCAAGTAAGCAAAAGCCATGCCAAATAGTAAAAAAGGCACTTACTTGACTCCCATAGGCCAGCTCCACACTCTAGCAGCTAAGATGTCACTGGCATGGAACATGGAGAGAGAGGTGGATATCTTGCCAGCCACTGAAGGAATGGCCATGAAAGACCTAAAGGAACAGAGAAAAGTTAGGTCAATGTCAAAAGGTGATGGCCCTGAACCTGCTAGCATGGCTACTTCAGCCTACAATGCCAAGAGTCTACACAGACCTCCTGAGAGCACTCCTGGAATAAATCCAGATGGATTAGGAGGAGCCTTTCAGAGAAATAAAGTATTAATTCATCTATTACCACATGGAAAGCTCACACAGATGGAAGAATCAGGAAATCTGAAGCAACAACCCACAAACTAATACTTTCAGAAACCCTTGCAAAGATGGGGGACTTTTTTCACTCTATTCTGTGCTTCAGAATATAAAGATAAAACAGAGAAGTCTAACAAACAATGAAGAAATGTGTGTTTCTAATGAAAGTAGATTCTAACAACAAACACTTCAGAGAAACCAGGCTTACTCCTAAAACTCAGAAATCCTGGTACACTTAAAAACACAGGGCTGGGGCGATGGCTCGACATTTAGAAGCATGGATTGCTCTTCTGGAAGACATGGATTCGATTCTCGGCATTCACGTGGTGGCTTATCTGTAACTCCAGTTGCAGAGGATCCAATACATTCTTCTGGCCTCTGCAGGGCACCAGGCATGCATGTGACATATGGACACAGATGCAGACAAAACGCCCATACACATAAAATAAACAAATAAAAAATTATGAAAAACTGATCCAGGTCATTGGCCTAGTCACAAACTCTCTGGTGCAGGGGTGACTGGAGATTACTAAAAACCAAGAACAGTAATAAAAGGAGTCTTCACACACCAGAAATTCCTCTCCCCACCCATGCGCTATACCTGGCTTCTTTAAAACGTGTTTATCAGAAAAGCAGCAACAGTGAAAACACAGAACAGTCATTCTGTCAGTCATTCTCCTCCTTTCCAACTAGTCACTCCTGAAAATGAAAACAAGACAGACAGACAAACAGACAGACAGGCAGACAGACAGGCCTCTTCCTTTACCAGTGTCCGTTCAGTACCTGTCTTCAGATCATGGAAGAAACACACAGCTGAGCTCAGACATCCCTGAGCCTCTGGAACTGGAACATTGTTCAAAAGGCAAACATAATGTTTTCACTCTAAATAAGTTTTTTTTTAAACAAATATTCTTGTATGACCTTTCTTTTTTTCAAAAAAAAATATTTATTTCTTTAGTGAGAATTTCACTGAAATTTATATCACTTACACCCTTCACAGCCCTTAATTCTAAGATGTATTAAAATTGTTCACTCTTTTTAACAGACAGTCTGGCAGTTCAAATTGCCCAGGTCCCAATTAGTTTAATTACAATTGGCTACTCGCTGTTAATAGCATATCTGGCCAGACTACATCTTGAGTGCCTGAGTACAAATTTCTTCTGGATTTTGGCTGTGCTTGCCTTGCCTTAGCGACCATCCCTGGAAAGCATCCCATTTATTACTGTTTCCCTTGCTGTGTCAGCATTTCTGGTTAATGCGCAGCATAGCCAATCACTTGGAGGGACAACCTGAATGAAGCTTTCCACTGTTGACTCTGTGGAAATGCTCAAACCATCAGCCAGAATTTTGCAAATGCAATACAAAAGCATGAAAGAGGATTTTAAAAAAAAGTATTCAAGATTGTTCCTTAAAGCAGGGACTGTAAAGTAAGAATCTACACAGACTAGTACCTAAGACTGAGTATTAAAACAGATATTTATTTCACATCAACAATCTCAAAAGGGAGTCCCTCTTGTCCTTTTTAGAACTCGTATTTCTTCAGCTTGCTCCAAAAAGCCATGCCACAATTGAACAACATTTTTTTTTACCATAAAAGGCATTATATCCTTTTACAAAATAAAGCATCATCTATGCAATACAGATTATCCCAAACACAGAGAAACAACAAGTTGGTGCCAACAAGTTTCTAGCCACAGCCTCTCTGCACTGGAAACACCTGCAGAGTAAAGCAAGTAAAGCAAGCTCACTGGAGTAAAGCAAGCTCTCCCACAGCAGCCCAGTCCCGAGTGAGCTCTCTCTTACAGCAGATGCTATTCTGCACTTTGCACAAGATGTATTCATCTGTGTGATGAGACATTACTCCTCTCCGCCTTCTCTGGGGGAAGTACAAAGGGCTTTCCCAGGAATATGATAAATGAGGACACTGCACACCAAAAAAGGAGATTAGCTTTTCTGAAAGACAAAACAGCATTCATAGTCTAACTTTAAAAATGACATAATAGATTCCTGTCCCTCACAATATTCAATGAAAAACATACACACAGTGAAACAATCATTCATATATACATATATACATATACATATATACATATACATATATACATATATA